AGAAGGGGGATTTATGACAGTGGAGTTCCTTTTGGAGGGTCTGTCGTTAGGCAGACAAGGGAAATTCAAGGAAAGCCTCTTTCTGCAGTTGCCGTTTTTCAAGTGCCTACAGCTCAAACATGCCAAAAAATGGCATATTGGGGGCTGTTCTATTATTCAGGCACATTCTGTTACCCTTCCCTATCGCCTCCCCCTGGGAGGTTAACAAGGTTCCTGAGCCCTCCTCCAGGAGCCAGGATGGCAGGAGGAGGGCCTCCTAGATACAGTAACTGAAGGGCCTGGCAGCCTGCTGTGCCTCCACCCTCAGTGTAACACAGGCTACCTTTAATAGACTGTATGCTCCTGCCGTGCACCAGGCACTGGGGCTAAGCATTTATCTCATTGACTGCTCACAGTAGCCTTAAGATGTGGATGTGATTATTATCTTCACAGATGAGGAAACTGACATTCAAGGGGTTAAGCTTCTTGCCTAAGGCCACATGTAGCTATCAAGGGGCAGAGCCAAGATCTGAACCCAAGATGTCTGACTCCTCTATTTGCTGTTCGCTGATTTTTCTAGGGGTTACTGGTCCTCTGTCCTTGCATCCGTCCTCCCACAGTACTCTCTGCCTCCACGTCTCTTTTACTAATAGTGCCCTTTCTTCTCCCTGTGAGACTCTCACAACGGGGTCCCTGCTGAGATTTTACTGAGCTCTCTGGACCTCCATCCCCCAGAGGGCGCTGTTAGGCCCTCCGCCCCTAGTGAGCACAAGTCCAGGCTCCTTGCCCACTGGGCAGCTCAGATTCAAGAATCTCTTCTAGTGTCAGGTCTTGGAAACCAGGGGAGTCTTTCAAGAATGAGAGATGCAAGCCCTGGCGGTGTAACTCAGTTGGTGAGAGTGCCCTCCTGATACGTCAAGGTTTTAGGTTTGATCCCCAGTCAGGGCACATATAAGAATCAACCAACGAATGCTTAACTAAGCAGAACAACAAAAATTAATGTTTCCCTCTCTCTCAAATCAATTTAAAAATTTATTTTTTCCCCTGGCTGGTGTGGGTCAGTGGATTGAACAATGGCCTGTGAACCAAAAGGTTGCAAGTTTGATTCCTAGTCAAGGCTCATGCCTGGATTACGAGCCAGTTCCCCAGTTGGGGGCCTGAGAGGCAACCAATTGATGTACCTCTCACACACTGATGTTTCTCTCACCTTCTTCCTCCCTTTCCCTCTCTCTAAGAAGTAAATAAATAAAATCTTAAACATTTTTTGTCTGTTTAAAGAATAAGAGATGCCAAGTAGGCTAGGACTCAGGAAGGGCTATTGGACTGAGCAACAGAGGCCTCACGGCAGTCCTTGGTGGGTGCAGAGGTGGACGTGCGAAAGCGGTACCAGAGGGAAGGGAGGTGCTTATAGCCTCAGTAGCGTTAGACTCACCATGCACTTCGCTATTTGAAGCACTTCGTAAATATTGATTTGTTTAACATTCACAACAATTCTATGAGATAGGTATTATCTTTCCCATTTCCCCATGGGGAAATTAAGTTCCAGGAGGTTAAATGGTTTGCCCAAGGTCACAAAGGTAGCGCATGGTGTAGTCTGGGTTTGAAACCAACCAGTCTGGCTGCAGACTCCATGCTGTAATCTGCCAAGCCATAAGTCCAGCTCTGGGCTGTGAGGAGGGGAGAGGGGCACAGGTGGGTAGGAGCAGAAGGGACAGAGCCAGGCAAGAGGAGAGACAAGAGCTGGAGAAAGACAAAGAAGGGTGGGTCAGATGATTTACAGTGCAGTGGTTCCCCTCCTGGACCATAAACCGAAGGGGACCCGTCGGCGGCTGGGAAGTGAGATGAGCGGACTCAGGAGGAAGGGGCTAGATAAGGCCTGGGGGTCAATCCTTCCCTCTGGCAGAGGCTTCAGGTCCTGAGCACATACTGGAGGCTCTGTGGGAAATCACAGCCCAGTGATCCAGAGTTGGTGACAGGCAGAAGTGTGAGGGCCCAGTGATCCAGAGTTGGTAACAGGCAGAAGTGTGAGGGCCATAGATGGGGATGGCAGTGGAAGATCAAAATGCAGCCAGCTGGGTTGACCTGAAGGACCGCAGTCAGAGAGAAGCCCCTGAGCGCCTCCAGTCCCAGAGCCTGGCTTCCCAGGTACAAGTAACTCTTTGAGTAGTAAACAGCTCAGAATGCTATGGGGAAAGCCCCAGATCAGAGCTGGGGAAAGGGCTGCGTGTCCATGATGGCCAGATGCCCAGGAGCTGGTGTGTCGCCCTCCCCAGGTCCCGTCTTCCTCTCTCCTCCTATCGACATCCCACCTGGGCCCTGGAAGGAGAATATGACTCATCAGGCCCTCAGGTTTCTAGACCTTGCTCACTTAAGAAATCCTTTATGAAAAAAAGAGGGAGGGGACCAGACATCTTTAAAGTTAAAAGGGACAAAAAATAAAAACAAAAACAAAGGAAAACCTGCCCATCTTCAAGTCCTCTCCAGCTTTATCAAGATAAATCAGACCCTTATCCTCAAGGGTCTCTCAGGCCAGAGGGGAGATCTCCCTGTAGACAGATCACAGACCAGTGGGGTTACCTGCTGCGAGAGGAGAGAGGAAACCTAGAGGGTTTTGAGGAGTGCCCTGGGCGAAGGTCACAGCAGGCTTCCCAGAGAATGCTCTGAGCTGGATGGTGAAGGAACAGTGAAAAGGAGCTGGACCAGGGGCTGGTGATGCAGGATAAAGATGACATGGGAGCATCTCAGAGGGCCTTGTGCATCCAGCTTAAAAACCAGGCCCTCGCTGGCTGGTGAGGCATCAGAGAAAAGTTCCCTCTCTCCTTCTCTGAAGGATTGCCTGGTTATGGGATGCAACAGTGGACCAGCAGGTAGAACCAAAGGGATTTGGCTTTTCATGGCAATCACAGCTGATAGCAGCTCGGGCCAAATGCCTGCAAGGCTCCGGGCTCTGTCTGGGCATCCTTCCCTTGAATACTCCCAGTTGCCCTGTGAGGAAGGTGCTATTAATCCTGTTTTGCGGAGGAGGAAACTGAGATTCAGAGAGATTAGGCAACTTGCACAAGGTTACAGAGAGCTAAAATTTAAACCCAGGTGTGTCTGACTTCCAAGCTGGGGCTTTCTTTAGGAAACTCTTGTGTGTGGGAACCAGCTCACAGTGTGGGGAAAGGAGCTCCCCAAACAGGTCAGAAGCAGGACCACCACTCCTGGGTTTCTGTGGGTGACAACACCTTGCGCTGGGTGGACAACAGAGCTGGTGCCTCGGGCATTATTTCCTCTGTTTAAAAGATGAAGAGGCCTGGCTGGTGTAGCTCAGTGGACTGAGCACAGACTGTGAACCAAACTGTCGCCGGTTCGATTCCTGGTCAGGGCGCATGCCTGGGTTGCAGGCCAGGTCCCCAGTTGGGGTCACATGAGAGGCAACCACACAATGATGTTTCTCTCCCTCTCTTTCCCCTTCCCTACCACTCTCTCTAAATATAAATAAAATCTTTTTTTAAAAAAAGAAAAGAAAGATGAAGAAACTGAAGCCTGGTAGCAGAAATGCCATTGAAGCTCCCGGGCACCCTAGAAGTCAGGATGCTGCACGTGGCTGAAGGGGCTGCATCCCCAGGCCCGAGTCCCAGATCTTCAGCCTCATCAGCCCCGTGGAATGAGAACAGGGAAGGGCTGGGCCAGGCCCCCCAGAGCACGGGCTAGAAGTCTGGCAGTGAGGCTGATGACGGGACTCTGGCCCCAGGGTTCGAACCCTTGTTTAGGCCCAGATGGGCCAATTCTAGCCTTTGAAGTCCACCGACTCCAGCTTTGAATCTCACCTCCAGCATGGCCCAGCGCTGCGTGATTTGGGGCAAGTTATTCACCCCCTGGAGCCTCATCTGCGAAATGGGGATGATTCCTACCTCACACAGTTGCCAGGAGGAGTCTACAAGAGGGTGACGTAGTGGCGCCTCTGGCACAGTACCTGTCACTTAGTCAGGGCTCTGTGATCAGCAGCTGTTATGACTGCAACAATTTATCATGTGTCTGTTTTCTCACCTGGACCAGTGTGGGACAGTAATCCCCATCATCCTGACTTCAAGGACATGGTGTCACCTATGTGAGCTGTGGAGTCAATTCAGATGGCATTTCCATCCCTCAAAGGCCAGCCCAGCCCTGCAGGCGTATCTAGGGAGACACATCTGGCTCCTAGGGCCAGGGGAAGCTGGGCGACAGCCTCAATCCATCAGTGACCGCCTCAGTCCAGTCAAATGTAACCAGCCCAGGAGGTGCTTAAGTGTGTGTCTGTGTGTTGAGGGGGAGGGGGAAGGCTAGCCCAGGTCTCCTTCCTCAACGTAAGCTGCTGCCCAGAGCAGGTAGGCAGGTGCGGGGGGTGGTGGTGGTGGTGGTGAGAATGTCCTAGTCCACTGGAGACAAGCTACCAGCTTCGAGAACAAGACCCCCCAGGGGTAGTGGTGGGTCTGGACTAGAAATGAATCTCCTGTCTTTAGTGGTTCAATTTCTGGTTATTCTTAGTCCTTCCTGGGGAAGGCTCTTGTACCAGAGGGCCTAGGTCTCAGCTCGACACCCCATCCTGGTGTGATCCCCACACCACTGAGTTCTGGAGGGAATGCGGGCATGCTGGGCCTGCTCTGCAGCTTCCTCCCACCTTATCTAGTGACCCAGGGTGAAGGCTGGGTGTGGACGACCAGAGCTGAATGGAGGTTGCCTGGGGCACTAAGCTTGGTCATGAGAAGGCAAGCCAAGAAGAAAGCTTGAGGCTCTGGCCAGATAGCTCAGCTGGTTAGATCATTGTCCCAATACGCCAAGGTTTCAAGTTTGATACCGTATGTGAGTCAGGAACGTATAAGAATCAACCAATCAATGCATAAATAAATGGAACAACAAATTGATGTTTCTCTCTCTCTCTCTCTCTCTCTCACACACACACACACACACACACACACAACAACAACTTAAAAGAAAAGGCTTATTGGGGAAGAGGGACAGCTCTGGGGGCAGACCTCCTACCCCAGGCCTCCGGTGCCATGATGGTTTCATATACCCTCAGGGCGGTAGAGGCTGGCTTTGGAGGCTCCTCTTGGCTGCTTCTCCCTGGAGGGTAATCACCTGCAAGCTCCTCTGCAAGGAGTTCCTACTCCTCATCGTCCTGTATGCTGTGCTCAGCATCGCCTCCCGGTGGGAGGGCGAGGTCTCAGGGCTGGTCTGTGGGAGACCAAGCTGCCCATCTCCCTCTAACCCAGGCCTGCACCTGACTTTCCCCAGGCTGTGGCTGACCTAGAAATAAGACATGTGCATGCTCAGGTGGCCGGATAATGCAACCACTCTGCAGACCTCATCCCCTTATCCTTGGTCCCTGACAAGGCTCCCTCTAGTTCTTCCTGGTATCGTCCTTACTGTCTTCCCTGGCCTTTGGGTTGGGTTGGTAGCTCTGCGGGTCAGAATTACCCCAGCCGCAGAGCCCGGAGGTCAACCAGAGCAGGCCCAGAAGGGACGGGAGCTGCATGTCAAGTTCAGGACTTCCTACTCACCTACCACTTGATGGACCCTCATCCCAGACAAGGCTCAAGCCACCTGCTGGCTGGCGTCACCAACCTCTGGGTACTGGAGGGGAGCTGGAGAGAGATGACACTCCATTCTCATCCTCATGGAAGCAAGGCTCAGAGTCAACCATTACCTGACCTTGAACCACCCCTTCTCTACCTGAGAAGAGTTACATTCCTTCCTCTCGGTATGTCAGGCTAGGACCAGAAGAAAGGTCTATCTTTCTGACAGCAAGCAGGGCACTGGAGCTAAATGTGAACTTCCCTCTGCCTTGGTTCACCGTGGCCTGGACCTGGTGCTCTGGCTGAGTGACAAGGTATGCTGATTCCCAGGCCTTCCATCTCCCCTTCCCATCCGCCCTACCCTTGGGGGCAACCAGGTTCCTATGTGACCTTGATGGCAAACTGCTGGTGGGCACAGTATACAAACATCCCGCTGCCTGACCAGCTGATGGGCATCATCTCGGCCACGGTGCACAGCCTGGACCAGCGAGGCTGCCAGCCGTGCCACACCCTTGTCTGCTGTGAAGACCCTGCGTCAGCGCTCCTGCTGCACTCTGTCAGCATCTGGGTGCTCCAGAGCCTCCCCACCACAGAGCGCGTGGTGGGTGCAGGTGCCTCAGTGCCTACTGGGAGGGGAGGTCTGATCCCTGGTGGGAGCTCCAGGGCCCCAGCTTTTAGAGGCAGAGTCTGTCCCCCACAAACTTTATCTGCAGGTTCCTTGTCTCAGAAAGTGAGGGAAAAATTTGAGAGCCTAAAATCTGACTTCAACAAGTACTGGGTACCCCAGGTCTGGCTCACCAACCTGGCAGCCCAGACCCAGAGGGATGGGATAATCCATGATGGCACTGCTCTCTGCTTCCTCCTGGGAGTGAGTCGGCCCTCCTTCCCCTAGCTTTGCAAACTGGAATAATAATTTTAATCCTTAACACTTACATGGTATCAACGATGTATCGCATATTGTTGGAAGCACTGTGTTATATTAACACATTTAACACTCAAAATCCTTAAGATGGGTACTATTATTATCACCCCCTTTTAAGGATGAGGAAACTGAGGCACAGAGTGAAAAAGAAATTTGCCCAAGTCACACAGATAATTAGGGAAGCTGGAAGTCATTCTCAAACATTCTGGCTCCAGGTTCTGCACCTACAATTACTTTGCTAAACTGCTTTCCATCACAGGCACCCCAGCCTGGTAACACCTCTGAGAATAGAATGAGCCTCCAGACCTGGCCAGGCCTCGTTTGTGCCGGGCTCCCCTGTTCTTTCCCATTGTTCGTTCCTCACCGTCACTGACTGCCTCTTCCTGCTCTTCCACCAGGAGCCGAACCAGCACAGAGCTGAGCGCAGCATGCTGTCTCACTGTGGCTGGATCAGCACCCCTCTTGTCTGCCCCAAGGGGCCGCCTCTCACCTCCCAGTCTTGGTGAGACACTGAAAAGAATGAGAGATGGTACCTGCCCCAGGTCAGTCTAGTGAGACACTGAACAGCCAAGGGCTCATCCTCAAAGCCTCTCTAGACACCCATGACAAGGACCCCATTCTCTCTGGTGCTGCTGCACCTTGCTACATGTTTTCATCACCTGTGAGACCCCCCACACCCCTCAACAGGCCCCTAGGGACAGGGACATCCCACTCAGCCAGGCTTCCCCTTCTCCAAGTGGCAACCACAGCAGTGTACTTCTTCTTTGCCCTCTCCCTGGTTGGCCGCCAGTTTGTGGAGCCAGAGGCAGGGGCTGCCAAACCTTGGAAGCCTCTGGAGCCTGGCCAGGAGCTGGGGCCAGTGTTCAGGGACCTAGACATGTATGTGCCTCTCATCACTCTGCTGCGGTTCTTCGTCTACGCTGGTGGCTCAAGATGGGCACATTAGGTAGTTATGCCAGCGTGCTCTGCTGGGCCCACCCCAACTTTGGGGACTGAGAATAGGGGAGAAAACTGTCTTAAAACCTGCAGGTCGCTGAACAGATCATCAACTTCTTGGATGAGGATGACGACGAATTTGAAAACGATCAGCTCATTGACCGCAACTTGTAGGTGAGCAGGGGTCTGGGGGCAGCGCCCCAGCATGGGGGAGAGGAGGATCTTTGTGACTCGCCGCCCACTCCAGGCGTCCCGGCTTTCTGTGGTCGACTTGTAGCAGAAACTGCCTCCTGCGAAGAAGGACCCATAAAGGGAAGGAGGCTAGACGCTGCCGCCCTACAACGTGGAGACCGTGGCCCAATCGGTGAGGCCTTCCTTCCTAGTATCCACTTTCAGCCTGCGGTGAGTGGCCATCGCTGGAGGAGGCAGGACTTGAACCAGCGCGCGATCCACAGGTCCCCGCCCACCCTTTGGGAAGCCAATGACTCCGTCCCTCCCGCCTCCCTCTGGAAAGCTGGTGCACCCCGCAGGGCGCCCCCGAAGCCCATTTGCCCAGTCCTCCCGCCTGGAGCGTGGGCCGCCACCCCCACCAGATCTCGCACGTGGATGCACCCCCTGGCTTGGCTTTGAGGGTCCCCGTTGCCCAGCGTCCTGACCCCGACGTCGGCCTCCAGAACTTCGGCGGCGCACGAGGGTCTCCCCGGACCTCTCATCTGCTGCGCTCCGGGCCGAGGAGGGCGGCGACCACGAAGCGGCGGCGGGGTCTGAGGACCAGGCCCAGGAGCCCTGAGCAGAGGCAGCCAGGCCGGGCTGTCCTGCCTGCCTCCCCCAGGCCCGGTCCCACCTGCTCCCGCCCCTCACGGCCCGCTTGGTGGGCAGTGCCTGTCCCGAGCCCCCGCTCGCGTACAGCGGCACTTCCTGTTTGCTCCGAGCCCGAGCAGTAAGGGGCGGATTTTGAAAGAGGAAGATGGCGGGAAGGGCCTGAGCCAAGGCTGGGAATGTATCCGCCTTGGCGGGAGAAGGTACGATGGTTTGGGGAAGTGAGACCGGAAGAGTAGACGGGGCGAGCAGACAGGACTGCGGCCCAGGTGCAGGGTCATTTCCTCGGCAGTGGAGGGCTAGGCCCATCCTCAGACCGGAGGGAGCCTGGGCGTTACTGAAGGCTTGTTAAGTTCTAGGTGGCACGCCAGCGTTTCTGATTTGTTAGGTCTGGACTGGAGTTCAGGGATCACAGTTTGAATCATACATAAGAGGTTCAGAATATACCTTATCCTGATAACCTTACCCTGAAGAGGGATCAAAATGTGTTTTGGGCAGTTTTGCTTTATCTGTAATGTTCAGTTTTTTACTTACAGTGAGAATATATTACTTGTGCAGTCACAATTGTTTAGAGTTGAATTGGCATCCTAGGTGGTGATGGAGATAAGGGTTTGGGATCCGCCCTGGAGGCCGATTAAACTCAGATGTGAAGGCAGCCAGGCGCACACCACCCAGGCTAGACTTTCTCACTCCCACCAACCCAGCGGGGCAGGTGGGGTGGGGGGGCGGGAAGGGTGTGGAAGGGCTGAAGGCTGCAGTCCGATCTGTGGTGGGATACAGTGCTGATGGCACTCGGTTCATGGGAAGAGAACCTTCTGGAAAACAGCTCATGGCACTAGATCGGACTCATTGCTGAACTGAGCTCCTGTAAGGTTCCCGTCCTCTAAGCTCGGCCTCCCCTAAATAAATTGGTGAATGTCAAAAACGAACATAAGGCCAAAGGGTGACAAATGCCAGGCCTCGGAAGGCAGGAGTGATTAGGTGGAGGTTGAGTGCAGCCGCTAGCATTGTCAGTGGACTGGATTATGATACTGGTTCCCAGGCTGGGCGAGCACGGGATATTGGGCATTTCAGAACCTCTCAAGGGGCCAAATCTGCATGTGGACGATAGCACCTCTCCACAGCCCTTCACTGCGAGGGTACCTGAGGGTTTTTGCTGGGTTTACAGGGGGAGGTAGCCTTGCTCTAGGGCGAGAATGGTCATCTGTGACAGCAGCGGAGTCTTCTTAGAAACTACTGGTCCTGTTGACGGTTTAGTGGGAGGAAGAGGAATAAGATCAGTGCCTTGCAGAACTCAAGTTAGAAAAGGCAAAGTAGTGCTTGCAGCTCTTTCTGAATTTGTCTAGTAGGTCTTCTGGTCTTTACGGCAAGCTGCCCCTCTACCTGCCCCCCCCACCAAAAGGCAAAAATGCCGAGTGTTGCTTTGACATACCTGACAGAGCCCTCCACAGACATTAGCTGCTGAGGTGGCTATGAAGACCCTCGCTGGAGGGAAGGCAGGGGCCAGGTCTCACCGAAGCCAGTGGTAAAGTTAGAGGGTTGGGTTGATTTATTACTTTTTAAAATCCTCACCCAAGGATGTTGATTGATTTTAGAGACATCAACTAGCCACAACCTTTAGGTGCACGGGATGACACCCCAACAGAGCCATCCACGGGCTAGGGCTATTTTTGTCCTTAAGTTGTTTTTGTACTCAAAAAGGGGGTTCATTTTCTAGTTCACCTTTTCCAATTGACTATTTGCATAAATCTGCAATTTAGCCAAGAGGAACCAATTGGATTTTGCATTTATTTGGCTGTAAAGATGTATTTCGTACTTTCCATCAACTTTAAACTGGATCAAGTCAAGAACTCATTAACTTAGCATATATTTGAGTGTCTGGTGTATCGCCACGCACCTTCCAGACACTAGACACAGCAGAAACCAAGTATCCCTGGTCCTGGGTTTTACAGTCTAAGGAGGGCAAAAGACGCAAGCAGACTAAACTTATGCCAGGGTAAGGGGGGGAGGCAGGTGGGGAGGCAAAGACATTTTGGACAAGACTGCAGCTTAAAATTCTGTGGTCGGACAACTCACTAGGGCGACAAAGACAGTGTGGCCAAGCTGCAGACAAAACTGACCCCTCCGATTTAGCGATGCACGAGCCACTGGTAATCTCACATACTTTTTAGTGAGAGGGAAGGGACTGGGGCTCAAGAGAAAACTTGCTTTCAACAACACAGAAATTTGGAGTGAATTTCAATTACCCATGAGCCCAGGTTGAAAACTAAATTAAAAAAAAAAAAAAAAAGGTCCAAAGGGCACAGAAGATCTAAAAGAACCAACTTTATTTTTTAAGATTTATTTTTAGAGAACAGGGAAGGGAGAAACATGGATTGGTTGCCTCTCACATGCCTCCTGTGGAACCTGGCTGGCAGCCCAGGCAGGTGCCCAGACCTGGAATCGAGCCCATGACCTTTTAGATCTGCAGGACAATGCCCAACCCACTGAACCGCCAACAGCCCTGGCTAAAAGGGCCAACTTTGGATGCAACATTGCTTCAGTCAAGGTCCATTCAACTCCCCAACACTGGGAGCCCCAATACTCTCTACTTGGCCTATATGCCACATCCCTGTCCCACTTTGGGGTGAGAAATGGTCCCCCTAGTACCTTATTACACCCCGGGTAACGTGCACCCACATTTCTGGCCCAAACTCTCAGGGGGAAAAACCTCATTTTAAATTTTTAGTTAAATTGTTTATACTTAAGATCGCTGTTTTTTGTATCAAAAAGGAATTTTAGCATCTTTGAAGATAACTATGGTAGAAATTTTACGTAACATAATTACAAAACAAAACATACAAGAAATTTTACATACCAGTAACTTCCCACATGTAATGCACATTCTTACTGTACATGGCAAAATATGGTATGTTAAGGCACAGCCCACCTAACAGGCCTGGCCTTCAGGAGGAAGGGGTTAGGGTAGTCTGCAGCATGCTGATTAAGTATTCACACAACACAGAAAACACAGATCACCTTTATTAGAGGAATCTGCCTTTTCTTTTTAATGTGAAAGCAGGGAGGAGGATTTATTTCCCTTTCCGGGCCTTAATTTTCCTCAGATAGAACTCCAGCTCCTTGCCTTCTAGCACGTAGCCATCTGCTCGGCCACACTGGCCTGGTCTTGAAGCGATGCATGCTGTAAGAGAGGATATGGTCCTTAGCAAAACAGTAATTCAGCCCTACCCATACCCATGTGCCCTTAAAGAAAACCCCTCTGGTTCAGGCACCCTGGGGGCAGGCATGAAACCTGTTGTCTCCTCAGATATACGTGATCGTCACTTGGAATCAGTAGCAGAACTGGACAAGTTTTCATCACTGAGACAGTCCCCCAGCCTAGGCACCGACCTCTCAAAGTGCTGCTGCCGAAACTCAGGCAGATGCCCATTACCCCTATTTTAGCTTCACACTGATGGGCTGACCAAACATCAATTTGAATTTGTATACTGGAATCACTAATGTCATAGTGAGCCCTCTAGACCACATGGCTGGGAGTCCCAAGGACTAAGGTAAGGATAAAATGTAGAGGTTACACCATACCTTGTCACCCCACCCCACCCCCCAACACAACGGCCATCTCACCAAGAAGCTTGCCCTGCTGGAACTGCTCCTCCAGGAGACTGCTGATTTTGGCGTTCTTTTTCCTTTCATCATATTTCTTCTGAATTTTCTTTGATCGTTTTTTGTTTAAAATCTCTTCCTCTTCAGGAGTCTGAATAAAGGAGACACAGATGGGTTAGCTGGGAGTCTCCAAATCCTAGCTTAGGAAGGAACACCACCACAGCCTTGAACCCTGCACACCCCAACTCCTGCTGCCTTCCTCAGCACTAATGGCTTTCATCTCTCTCCCTTCAGTAGCAGAACTGGACAGAGTTTTCATCACAAGAAGGCTGGAATCAGGTTGGCCCCCCCCCCAACCCCTACAGGAAGGTTGACTCCCCAAATACGTACCAGCTTGGCCCCCTTCTTGCGGCCCAGGGGCAGTGCATAGTGGGACTCGTACCACTGTCGGTACGGTGTGCTGTCGATGAGCACGATGCAGTTCTTTACTAGGGTCTTGGTTCGGACCAGTTCATTGTTGGATGCATTGTAGACGACATCAATAATCCTTGTTTTGCGCGTACAACCTGCTCACAGAAGTTCAGAATCAAGCCGTGTAAACCAGAGGCCAACTGGCCTGGCCTTCCCCCCACCACACTAACTGTAACAGGGCCTCCTCTAAGCCTTTACTCAGCCACAGGGCATCAGCTCATCTTTCCAGTAGTGGCTGACAGCCACATGTTCATGGTCTCTAGATTCAGCCCCCTCCCTGGTTACTGTCTCAGGGTGTTTGAGGAAGCTTGTTTCTCAGTGGAGGCCATGGACCTTCCCACTGAAAGCACTTATTGAGACTTCGAAGGGTTTAAGCGCTGAGTTCCCACCCACTCCCACAGGGGGCCTCACGCACACTCTGAGCCCCAGGAGAAGTTGCCCACGTCCAGCCTCAAGGCTCGGTACTTCTTGTTGCCTCCTCGCACCCGAACTGTGTGTATGCGCCGGGGGCCGATCTAGGAAACACAAGGAGACAGGAACTAGGTTATGAGAGAGAGTACGACGAGAGAGAGAAGGAAACCTGGGCTGGGTGGAGGAAACAGTCAGTGTAACTATGACAAGTCCTAACATTGGCATGTGGCACACAGGTGACCAAGACGGCCACACCACGCCTAAGGATTTTTTTTCATCACTCTAGTTACCTCCAAGACGGGGAAAAAACTTGGCTTCAAACACTATAAATCAAGTGTCCACTCAATAAAGACCCCAGATTTCTGCCTATAATTTGGGGACCCCGGTCCCTCCAGGCGCCCTTCAATCCCAACACACACACAGCATGTCCCCGCGCAGTCCGTTTAGCACTCGCCCAGCAGGCGAACGCGAAGAGGCGGCTCAGTC